AGGTGCCACAAGCGCCCCTCAACTGGGTCTGCCTCAGAGAGGCCCTGGGAGCTGAGACCCCACATGGGGCCCAGACACCACTGATCCACGGGGCTGGGGGCTCCGAGCAAACGCCCGTCTACAGCGCCTGCGATGATCCTCCAGTACGTGCGGCCTGAAGCTGGAATTCTGCGTCCTGGACGCAAAACAGCCCGGTTGGTGGCTGGGGGCAGGCCCACTGCACAGACACACCCAGCCTGGGTGCGGGCGGGCGTCTGAGGGCTGCGCCCTCCTCAGTGCCCATGGGAAACAGACTGGTTTCTCCAAATCCTGATTATTCCACCTCAACGACCTGCCTCGGAGTAAACTGTGGCCATATCGTCCAGTGAGACACAACTGGGGAGACCCAAGCTAGGGGCAGGGGGAGCTCACGCCTGCCACACCTGAAAAGCACCCCGATTCCCAGGAGTCCCTGAGTACTGGCCCCGTGCTGGGCGGCTGGAGCCCGGACGCAGCCTGAAGGGCCAGCCAGGCCCTTCCAGGTCCCTCCGCCAGCCCCAGGCAAGGGGGCGTGGCCTGGCCCAGAAGGCCTGGGTGTCAGGGGCTCATGGCCACGCACATGGACGGCCTGGAGGGCAGCTGGGTGCCCAGGAGGGGGGACACATACCCCAGGGTGGCCCCAGCTCACATGTTGGGCCCCAGAGCAGTTGGCGAGGCCAGAAGCTGGATGAGTCAAAGGAGGGGGCAAGGTGGCCCTGCCCTCCTCTCAGGGCAGAAGGAGCCACTGTGGGGCCAGCATTCCCTGCCCACGGCCCCCACATGGCCCCGGGGGTCAGCACAGGCACCCAGTGTGGCCGGTGCCCGGTGCCCCGGAAAACCTGAGGTCTCCCCTCCAGCCCTGCCAGGACCGCTGAGTTGTCTGAGAGCTGCGTCCACTCCAGCTCCGGGCTCAGGGCCAGGGGGCGGGGGGCTTAGAGCCAAGGACTGAAAGGGAGCAGGGGCCGCAGACAGGAGGGGTAGGGTCCCAACCGCAGGGGACCCCGGCTGGAAGGAGGGAGGAGGAGCGACTTGGAAGAAACTCCAAGGCGGCCTTTGTGGATGCAACAATGCAGGGTGGCACCCTGAGAGCGGGGTCCTTTCAAGGAAGTTTCTGCCTTTGGGGGCACAGCGCGCTCACGAGGGGGCCCCTCCTCCCTCACTCATGGGACCCTGCAGTCCCGTGGCTGGAACTGCCCTGGTGCTCATAAACCAAGCAGGGACTGAAGCGCCTGCAGTTCCAGAGGAACAGGCCTCTGGGAGCTTGGTTTTTAATGAGCCCAACCTGAACCTGAGGCAGAGGTGGGCAGGGCTCCACCCCAGCCCCAGTGGGTGTGGGGCGGGCAGGCTGTGTGCTGGAGCTGGCAGGGGGTGGTATGGGGCCTGCAACCTAGTCCACAGGGCTGGTGTCCCCAGTACGGACCCAGGGGCTGGTCTGAGGTTCCCCAGGGCAGCTTCAGGCCTGGGGCAGGGGGAGAGCTCCAGGCTTTGTGGGAAGCAGGCCAGGCCAGGCTGGGAAGCAGAGGAGGGGGAGCCGGGGAGGGAGGTGGGGGAGGAGAGGTAGGGCCAGGGGCCTCCACGCAGGCCAGCCCTGCTGACGTCTCTGCTGGTTTCTTGCCAGGTGGCGATCACCTGCAGATGAAAAACCCATGTGCTCATAGGTTCCCATTCTCAGTAACCACTTCTTCACAATGGTGGTCTTCCAAAGCCCTGCTCGAGGCGGCAGCTAGCTAAGGTCAGCCATGCTCAGACCAGCTGTGCAGGGCCCCCAAAGGCAGAGGTCTGGGCCCAGCGCCCCCTCACCAGGGCCCTACCACACGCACCCCCGCAAAAGAACGCTGCCTTCGAACCCCCTCCAGCTGCCGCCTCTGCTGGGAAAGACGCAGCTGCTCCAGCGACGCTCGGGGCAGGCAGGGACCACGGGGGCTGCCCCGCCACGGGGACCAGCGCCGCGCCCCAGGGCCCCTGCCCACCTTCTGCTGTGGCAGGTCACTGCCAGCCACTGCAGCCCTATTTACTGTGACTGGAGCAGGGCGGGAGCCAACCGCAGGGCTGCCCTGAGCCACCCCAGCCCAGGGCAGGAGGAGAGCGGGCCTGTCTCCCTGGCCGGGGAGGTCGGGGGTCCTCTGGAGCTGAGCTGGTGAGAGAGGGCCCAGTGGGCAGAGACCACCAGTGCTGGCACGACCCCAGCCCAGCTCAGCCAGCCTGGGGGCCGGCCACACTGCTCTTTCCCACCCTGGCGACATTAGCTCGTATCTGTCACCTCTTCCCAGCTCTCTTGAACTAACCGTCTGTCACTTGCAATCTGAGATTCCAGGACATACAACCCCTGGCGGAGGGCTGCCACACAGCACCACGGAGGCCCACAGAGATTACACCTGTGGGGCTCACTGACCTCCCCTGCACGGAGGCCCACTGCCAGGGGCTCACATCCGCACAGGCACGGCCGTGGGAAGCCTCCCAGCTGCCAGTGCTGCGTGGACACAGGCAGGGAGTGGGCGGGAACTGTCCCCCCAGCTTCACGGCCACCTGGTTCTCTGTCCTGAGGACGGTCCCAGCCTCCTCCTGCGGTCAGGAGGCCATGACGTTCCCGAATGCCCAGGGACAAAGCCCAGCCCACGCCCTGTGCCAGTGGGGTCTGCCCTCTCACCATCACGGGGGGTGGGCGGGACCTCCACCACCGGCCCCCTCTGCTGAAAAGGTCTGGAGATGACGCTGGTGATGGCGCCACGACACTGTGAATAAACTCGGTGCCACGGAGCCACGAGCCTAAAATGGTTAAGATGTTGGCTTCGAAGTTACGTGTAATTTACCACCACAGAAGATTGGTTAGAAAGTAAAACCTAAAACAAAACACTATCCAGCTTTGTACCCAAGGCCCAGACACAGCGAGTCTGCCCAGTCCACTTCCAGGACCAGCTGGGGACAGACCAGTCACGTCAGACACACGGACTCCTGCGCCTCTGTCCACGGCAGGGGTGGGGGGACATCGGGGGTGGGGGGCTGCTGGATGCTCACTCCCGCTCGGCCCAGAGGAGCTTCACAGCAGTTCACACAGCCAGCCTTCACCAGTGCCCCCGGCACGGCTGCGCCCGCGCACACGCTCTCGAGCAAGGCCACGTGTAACAGGAGCACGGGGGCCCAGCCACCCACGCTGGGGCCGGCTCCAAACCCCCAGCCCCTCTCCTTGTGGGGTCAGTGCCCAGCCCCCGGGAGCGGCTGGAGGACAGGGGCCTGGCCTGTGGCGGGCCGCGTCCTGCCCACATTCCAGACACACACCGGGCAACCGTGGCCCAGAGACCCCGGAGGCCTAATTAGGGAGCAGGAAGTAGCCCTCCAATTACACCGCAACTTGCATCTTAAGACACAACCCTGGCACGACGCCATGCCTCCTCCTGTCACCACTCTGCAGAGCCCCACTTCTGGGACCCTGCGGCCGGCTGGCTGCTGAAAACCAAGGACTGGTCAGAGAAGCCAGAGTCCTGGGGCTGCGCAGACACCGTGGGGGAGGGGGGACCACCCAGCTGTGCAGAGGGGGCGTGAGGGCTGTCCCCAGGAAGGGTGCGCGAGGCCCAGCCTGGGGGGCGGGGGGTGGGGACAGGGAACGGCCTCACGGCCACGTGCCCACCAGCCTCCTCCGGCCCGACGGTCTTTGCCCCGAGGGTCCCCAAGCTCCCTTCTCCTCCTGTTTCCAGCTATCTGGAGGACCCTGTGTCTCCCTGTACAAGCCATCCTCCCAAACCTGGTCTGGGCTGGTGTCTTCCACTGGGGGAGGAGGGGGCAGGTCCCCCTAAGCTCCACCTGCCCACCCCCTCACCTCCCCACACCCTGGGATTCGCCTGGGAGAAGCCAGGCGGCAGAGGCCATCCCAACCTGCCTTCCATGTCTGACGAACTTGCCAGCTAAGGACCTGGGCTTCTGGATCAACCACCTTTGCACAGCTGACAAAAGGCCCGGGTCCACTGGGTAGCTCCTGACTCAGAGAGATGTTAAAAATACTCTCTTCCTCATGCATAAGGCGTTCCGCTGGATGTGTGAAAAGGGGCTAATTTGCTCTGGCTTGGTAACCTAAGGCAGCCGGCACTGAGATACAACGAACTGGAGGTGATTAATAGCATTCAGACTCCCGCGGAGCCTGCCCTGGCGGCGCAGCGATCCCTTTAAAAGGCTTACAGAGCTTAACAGTCACGGCGTCCAGCGGCTGTGTGGGGCTGGGGAGGGTGCAAAGGCCTCACTCATCCGCCAAGGCCTCTGAGCTGAACAGACACTGTCCGTTCAGGGCGACCCATTTACACCAGGCCCATGCAGCAGGGTCCCGAGAGGTGATCTGACCCCTTGCAGAGCTCCCTGAGCCTCTGAGTTATAATTACCCCCCGTCTCTAGGCAGGACAAGGGAGCGATCAGCAAGTGGGATCCGGCCGAGAGAAACCAAAGCGAAGTGCACAGTGTACTCCGGGCAGGCCTGTTTGGAGGCCAAGGGTAGTGTGGCCACCCCCTCCCTCCACCCTGATCCCACATGGCCTGGAAGGACGGGCGCAGGTGAAGCCTGGCCTCTGGGCTCTAGCTGCAACTGTGGCATCCGAGTGTCCCTGTGGCCCCGGACACAGGGTGTCAGCCACACCATGGAGCGGCTTCTAAGACGCTCCACTTTCGGGTCTCGAGTTGGCTCCCGTCTCTAAATAAAGAGATAGGGAAATGCTGCAAAAGGGCCTTCTGTATGGAGAGTGAGTGGGTGTCAGGGTCTCAGCCCCTGTAGAGCCCAGAGGCCGTGCCATCTGCACCCTCAGCTGAGCTCCGAGACCCCCAAGGCCCCTGGACTGAGCCCCTGGCGGTGGTGAGCTCAGCTGACACCCGCCCTGATGCCCCCAGCATCCCCAGCCTGCTCAGCGGGAAGGACACCCACATCCTCCACCAACAGACCCGAGGTGGGGGGCGGGCTTTCCCTCACCATGGTCCGGCTGGTCTGGTCCTGCTGGGGGCCTTACCTTGCCGAAGCTGCCTTTCCCAATGGCACGCAGGATCTGGAAGTGGTCCAAGTTCACTGCAGAGAAAACAGAGGGATGCCAGGTGAGGTGGTAGAAAGGCCCTGTGCCTGCCACAGCCCCCTGGCTGGAGCAGCCCCCGAGTGCCCCCACGCTGCAGGGGCCGCCCAATGCTGCAGGGAGCCCCCACACTGCAGGGAGCCCCCCACACTACAGGCGCCCTGCATGCTGCAGGGAGCCTCCAATACTATAAGGAGCCCCCCAACACTATGCAGAGCCCCCAGTGCTGCAGCCCTCTGCAGCCCACCTCACCCTGGAGGAGGGCCGGCCGTGGTGCTGCTGCAGGCTGAGCTCCAGCCCGGGTACCAGAGGGGCCTGAGCCAAGGCAGAGGTGGGCCCCGCACTCACGGCGGGGTGAGGCCAGGCCGCGCAGCCCACAGGCAGGACGATGGAAGCAGAAGGGACCGGAGCAGCTCAGCTCAGCCCCAGACACCCAGCAGCCCTCAGTGAAAGTGGCCACAACCCAGGAAGACCCGCAGATCAGCGGCCCAGAGCCTCCGAAGCAGCCACCCGTCCTGCAGAGTCTGGGGCCTGTGCCCGGGGGAGTCTCTGGACCGACTTGAGAGGAGCCCGCAACGGCCCAGGACTAACAATGGGGGAGGTCTGCAGCCCGAGGGAGCCCTCGAGGCCTTGTTTCTATCAACTTTCTCCACAGAATCAGACAGCGAGCGCCCCCCACGCTCCCCCGAGGAAAGAGACGCTGAAAATGGCAGCTTCTCTAATCACTAACCCCTGACAGCCCAGCAGCAGGAGCCCCTGCGGAGGGCAGAGCGGTGTGGACGGCTTTCCAGGGCTCCGCCTACTCTCAAACCAACGCTTTCTCCTTACACGAGACAGGGGTTCACTACGTCCACGTGGGCTTCTCCCCCACACACGGCTCAGCGCCCCAGGTGGGGAGCCTGTCTCTGCCCGGGGCCCGGGCCAGTCTGGCCCAAGCCCCCCAGGTCTATGTGCCTCCAGGTCTGTTCCCCCAGGTCTGTGCCTCCCAAGTTTATGTGCCCCCCAGGTTCATGTGCCCCCCAAGTCTCTACTCCCAGGTCTGTACCCCCAGGTCTATGCGCCCCCCAGGTCTATGCCCCCAGGTCTATGTGGCCCCCAGGTCTATGTGTCCCCCCGGTCTGTACCCCCAGGTCTATGCCCCCCAGGTCTATGTGCCCTACAGGTCTATGCCCGTCCCCCAGGTCTGTGTGCCTCCAGGCCTGTGACCCTATCTCAGGGATGGAGCATGAGACACCCAGAGGTGACAAATGTGCCCAGACTGGCGTGGCAGGAAGACACTGCCCGGTGTGGGCGGAGGATGGGCCGTGTGCTGGCGACTCTGCGGGGTCCTTCTAAATCAGGTACTTTTCTACCTGCGCTAGTAGAGGTGGGCTGACCAGGTAACCGAGCACAAGCTTCCATAACCAGAAAGGTGGATGGTGGCCCCAGTACTTCTAGGGACAGTGTCCCTGGGAGCGGGCCAGCTTGGGGCAGGCCCTCTTCACAGGCACTGGTGTGACTTTGGGGTCAGAGGAGGCCCTTGGTGGCGGCGGGGAAAGGTGAGGCATCGGGGACACAGGGCTGGGGCTGCAGTGTGGGCTGGAGAGACGGGCTCTGCTGGGTGGCTCAGGGCCTGGGGATACCCGCCTGTCTGCTCAGTCTCCTCCCGGGTCTGGCCCGTTGCTGCCTGGAGGCCCAGGGCTCCTTCCTCTCTCGGGTTCAGCGTAGCCCCGGCCACTCCCACACGTTGCCGAGGACGAGGGCTGAGCTCGCCCCACCCCAAGAGTGGCCCCTGTGGGCCTACAGAGGGCGTCCTGCTGTGCATGGCCGGCTCAGTGCCTCAGTGCCAAACGTCCAGTCTAGCAGGCCCAGCGGGAGAAGTCAGCGCCTCCTGTCCCAGAGACAGCTTGCTGTGCTGCCCCTGCCCCACGGCTCCAGCGGCCAGCACAATGTGCAGCCCCAACATGGGCACCGAGGCCATGAGTTAGCCAGACATTTAGCAAGAAAATCACCATGTTCTAGAGAAAAGCACAGATTTCAGACTTTAGTCTTTCCAGGAGAGGAAAGGTGGCAATGACACCGCATTAAGTAAGAGGTCAGAAACACAAGGCGCCCACGTCCCTCCCCGTGGAGGGAGCTCCTCACGCAGCGCTGACTGGACGGGGCCGAGGGAGCGACGCTGCAGGCCTGCGGGCTCCGGCCAGGGCAGCAGGAGAAGGGAGCCATGCGGAGAGCCCGGGCCTGGCCGCCCTTGTGGGCTCCCTGGCCTGCGGTCCACGCTGGGCAGCTCACAGAGCCGGGCCTGTGGTTTTGAGCACAACCCTCCCCACTTCCTGAGACACCAGCAGGGGCGGCCGCAAGATGGGACCCAGACAGCAGAGGGCGCACCGGCGGTCAGGGACACCGCCTGGCGAAGACGCAGAGGGCACGGGGACCCCAGGTGTGGCTGCAGCATCTCGAGAGCAGTGGGGTGAGCCGCCAGGCCAGGGCTGGGCAGGTGGACATGGCTCCAGACCTGGAGAAGCCACCACGGGCGAGAACCACCCCCCGAGGGCAGTGGCCCCGGCCACGTGCCCCTGCTCAGAGTCCTGGCTAGCCCCAGTCCCCAGGAGAGCCTCAAGTCCACCC